GTTTAAAGTATTGAATAAAATTAAAAATAAATTAAATCAATAAGGGGCAACTATCTAAACCGAATCTGTTTACATAGTTAGACACAATATTAACGAGTCGAAACCCGTAAAAACAGAAGAATAATAGCGTTAAAGAAGCCTAGCAGCCAAAAAGAAAGTGAGTGCTAATTGCTCACAGTGCGGTGGCGCTCACTGGCGGCGATAAACGCAAATACACCACGTGAAGGTTAAAGCGAGACAGCGTCATGTACTAAAATTAGTTATTTTATCAACTTTATCGAGGTATTTCCAAGCATCGTTTAAATTAGTTGTGACGATCAAAAAAATTAACGTTCGTGTTCTTCAAATAAAGATGCAGATATCTGTCTGTTATATGTATAATAATAAATCTATGGAATTTTTATGATTGAAAATTGAGTAGGTACCTACATTTAATAAACGTGTAGGCGAAAGAAAACAATTGAATGTGCCAATAAAATTGGCATAATATTAATGCTTTAAAAAATACTATTTAAATACCACTTAGACGTCGTTGGTTCAGAAATGTGCAAAATTCTTAATTATATATTCGCAACATATGTATATTGTTTAAAAAATAGGTTTCTCATAAAAAAAATTAGAAACATGAACCCTAAAAAATTAAATAAGCGGGAAATAATTTCTGAGCACTCTGTACATTTGATTAAAACATTTTTTATGGAAATCTCATTTTTTAAACAAGCGGTAGGTACTACTTAAGTTTTATGAAGAATGTTTTTTTAGTAAATCGCAGAATAAATCAGTTTTACGAATATAATTTCTGAGCACCTGTACATTTGATTTAATTTTTTTTACGGAAATCTCTTTTTTAAACCACTAGGAGTTTTAATAAAGAATTATTTTTTTTCGTATAACGCGCAGTTAAAAGGTTTTTCCTATACGCAACCAGATCCGGTACTTAATTCGTATTTCACTGCTTTGTTTATTTTTTTTATCTCGTATTTTTATTAGGGTTTTAAAATTTACGAAAAAATTGATCCAAAAAAACGGAAAATTTGGAAATTTTCAGAAAAATTGACTTTTGGGCCATTTCATGCGGACGGGACAAATCACAAAACTGTTTTTATAAAATTTATTGAGTATACATATAATATTTTGTCAAACATATTCTTCTTTTATTAGGCTATACATTAAATAAAAAAACGCAAGAAGTGTTTTATAAAAGTAGAATTTTAATAATTGACAGGTTTGGACGGGACAAGATAAATATTTTTTTTGTCCCGTCCACACCTTTCAATTATTACAATTATCTCGGATTTTTTTCGACACTTAAAACCCAAACTTTTATTACCTATATGAATTGAAAGTAAAATAAAAATTAGTCCTAATATTAAACTTTATTTTCTATGCACAAAAATTTTACGGAGAAAAAATAAATTAAAAAATTTGAATTTGAGGTTACTTTTTAAGTTTTACCCAAAAAATTATTACTATATACATATATATACATATATATAAATATATATATCTGAACAAACACTTTATTATCATGAAAAAACGCAGTGTCAGTGTCGCACCCGTTACAATGAAAATACCCTTTTGAAATTTTCAAAATTTTTGAGCGATCCCCAAAAAAATGATTTTTGAAGAGAGTTCCTAAACATATTTACATATTTTTATATGAGACTTGAAAAAAACTACTATTTTTTTATGTTCTTTAGTTAGTTCACTAGTAGATCATAAACTGAGTTCAGATTTCATCGGACGAAAATAATAGAAATACATGCGTCTCGTTCAAAGTTTTTGACCTTTTCTACTTTGGTAAATATGCCTATCGGTCTGTAAACATAATACTCGTAATTTGATAAAAACCATAATTTTTACATTTTATATTTTATGTAAAAATACAAATATTTCGCCTGGAGTTTAATTTAATTTAATTAAACTCAAGTATATGATGTTTAATGTTAGACGAATTTTAATTTAGGCACGAACAAGCTTGCAAACGAGTGTTTAATTAAATGAGTGTCTAGAAAAGTTTATAAACGAGTTGCACAATATAATTTTTCTACAACAAATACTTATAAGAATAATTATTCTTATCTAAAAATGAGTTAAATTAGATATTTGTATGGAGCGACATCTATAAAACAAAATATTTTAACTTGGGAATCTGTATTACCGGCGCACAGGTTAAAATGTCAACTTTTTATCTGTGAATAGAAATGTATCCCTTGAAAATAGACTAACCACCGTTTAAATCCGATATAGAAGCAGTTTTTTACAGTGAAAGTGAAGAAAATGTTTTATGGGCACACCACGGTGAAATCTCCACCCGAAATTAAGTTAAATCTAGTTTACTGCCGGCAAAATTAAAAGGTCAGTGTTTATATCAACTTTTTAAATATATACAAAAGTTTATATACAAAAGTGCGCTTTTAGTTCCACCCTTACTTCTTAAGAAGTCCCATAAGCCAACTGAATGGCTTGTGCGGGTTAGGGGTAGGAACGGACCGCGGGCTTAAAGTCCCCTCCGAAGGACTATTACACAATAGGACAAACACAAATAAACAGTCATACCCCTGGTGGGATTCGAACCCACGACCTCCGGCTTGTAGTCAGCAGAACTAACCACTCGTCCACCGTCGGCGTTATAAGAAACTATTTAAGACTTTTGTTTTTTTCTATTGAGATAATAAAATAATTTTTACATTTAGTATTTTACATAAAGGAAAATTTATTTATGACATTTGACAACTGTCAACTAACTTCAGCCCGTGACTAAAAACCTGTTGCTAACTTCATCCCGTTACTAAAACGCCGTAAAGCCACAACTTGTCAATGTGTATTTAAAAGGTCACTTAGTGTCATGGAAACATGTACGATAATGGGCGTTTTAAAGGTGGGAGTAGAAAAAAATATTTATCTAAAACAACATTTACATTCATAATACCATTAAAAATGAAAATAATTTGAATATTTTAACATACCGCTATTCATAGCATTACGAATTTTATCCATGTACATACACACACAAAATATATCCTAAGCCAGATTACTTACAATAAGAGAATTCAGAACGATAATAAGTAGGCTTCCGTTTAACAGTATTTGCAACAATAATATATTTGCCGTAACGGTACTGTTGTATCTAATGGTTTCATACTTATACAGATGCGATGGCCTGCCAGGTCAACCGTGACAAAAATTCACCAGCAAATTAATTATCAATTTGTTGATTTAATGGTTTCTAAAACCAGTGCATTCTCCTAATTAGATGCTGTATTATAATTATAGCTAATTAATGAGTCAGATGCAGATGTTGGTTACTTGAGGAAACATTTTTAGTTTATTTTAAAACATAGACACAAAATTGACAACATTTCTAGACCAAGCTAGATTTTTTGGTACACCTTAGGTAATTTTAATAATGGTCTCCAATTAAATTCATTTTGGCCGTATTTTTTGTTTGTTTTTGTTTCAATAGAAAGTTTTATTCAAAAATAAAAATGTTTTAAAATAAAATGTATTTATTCCCTTCCTTTTTAAAGATTTTTTTCCCACACTATGATAAAGTTGACCATCTCCATAGGGGCGAGAAAGTAATTATTTCTACGGCTAGGCTTGCAAAAAGACCCACAAATGGCAAGGCAGTAAAATTTGTTCTTACTTTTTTTAATAATAATTAAGTTAAATTAAAGTAAAATATAAAATATTTTTACGATTTAAATTAACTTTCTTATTTCTAAGAAAGGCTGGATCGTTACCGTAAACTTGGGTGACTTTTTTCCACTTTTGAACTTTAAGGTCTTGTAACTTTTTACATGATAGAGATAATTACTTGTTGTTGGATGGCCAAGGTCAGAAGCCAAAGTTTTGTCACTTTGGCCACCCTTTTTTATGGAAATGAAAAGATTAGCGAGTAAATACGCGACTTTGGACACTAATATATATTTTTTTAATGTTAGAAATTAAGATGAGAGATCCTATGGTGTACTAAAATGTCTTTTGGTCGAAATTTTTGAAAACTTGATATAATATTTTTTCTCAAAATAATTTTTGTTATTTAATTATTTCCGATAAGAACCGGGGGGTTTGATAATTCGTCACATCTTCACATTTTGTCACAATGGGAGAAAGGGTCAATTTTTACCATTAAAGCGTTACGAGATTTTTGGACGGCCCTATTTGAAAATGTTGTATGTTCTCTATACCTAAGTATACTTAAAATTGCGGGTAATTCCCCCCCTGGAATTATTTTCTGCCGGCGCCCATGTAATGCCACAAGATATTTGGTATAGAAAATCAGGATTATTGTTACTTTCAAGCGCTGCTGGTTAAATTTAAATAGCGACATATCCACGTTATCCAATAAAATTTTATCGTTGAGTGATCTCTAATCAACGGTTTCGTTGATTAGTTGATTTACTCAGGTACTGCTTTCTTAGAAGGTTACACGCAAATTTTATTCTTCTTGAACCTGAAAACATCTCCGTCTTGAGGGGGATGGTATTTAGCTCAGTTAAAAGCTATTTGGCCAAAACGAGCGCAAGTATTTTTCCAAGTTTCTCTAATCTTCTGTAGTCAAATTTGATAATTCGTATGTTTGGCAAATACTTATTACAGTCTAATAGTTTAAAAGTGCTAAATAGGGTTATTTTTGGAAACACTTGGTTTTGTTGCTAGAGAATATCTAAATAATAATTAATTGAATCATTAGGTTTACAAAACAGTTGTGTGGCCACCTCGTTCTTTATATTGCAATATATGAACTTTTTTACACTTTTAATCCATACATCACCGTCTTAAAGGTTGTTCAAGCGTTTCAGTTGCACCTTGCATATTTTCTTGATATTTATTGGCTTTGTAAATAATAATATTATAATTTTATGTAATAAAATATATATTTAAAAAAATACAAAAATATAACTAAATACATACAAACACATTTATTCATAATGTAATTCTGTTTTCAAATGTAATTCATTTTCTTTATAATAAATTCTTTCTGATGTAGGTAATGAAGATTCTGCAGTTGTTGAAATGCAGTAATTTGATATAGCAGCGTTATCTAAACATGGTTCTCCATACTAATTACTTTTTTCATATACGCCCATCGCAGCATCAAATAAAATATTATTTATTAGGTGTTTTACAATGATTTGAGATTTTGATGGTAGTGTTCTAATTTCGTTTCCAACGTGTTCTCCATAAGTGGAACACCCATCTTTTGTAGTGTGGTAGTATTTTCTTGAAGTTATTGGTATTGTTTGAGGGTTTTCTATTTTTCGTTTTTTATGTTTGGTAATTTCAGCTATGACGGAGGGATATTCTTCCTTTAAAAATATTTGTGTTTAAAAAAACATGTTTACTATTTACTGCTTACCTTATTTTCTGATATAGAATCCTCGGCTTCTGAGTTTGCATCGTCTTCAACGGGAGATCCGTTCACAAAACGATCATCGATATCTCTTAAGTCATCTGAAGTAACTTCTCTGGAAAGTCCATATGATTCTGCAGACCGATTCGTAACCACACTATTTGAAGTTCCTTCTTCAACTTCAAGAAACTCCTCTTGCTCAAAAGTTGGTTTAGATCGACCCATGGTACAAGAAATAGTGTTAAGTTTAAGCCTTTTTCTAAGGGTCGATTCGCAAATGCCAATCTTATTCGCTGCACCTCGTTTACTCATCCCTTTTGCTATAAGCACTTTGGCGGTAGCAATTTGTTCTTCAGTAACTGGGATCCGCTCAGGACACTTTCGAATGTATTTGCGCGGCATGTTCCTGTAAGAACTAAAATAAAATAAAATAATTTATTCACAGTAATATTATTTATTCCTTAAAAAGATTAAGCGTCTTCAATATGAGTAATAATAAGGAAAACAAAATATAATTTCTGAAATTCTCTTTAAAAAAAGGGCAGAAAGAAACCACCTGCGATGAATAGTTTGCTGGTTATCGTTCTGAAAATTTGATATAAAAACTTAACCCACTATCATAATGGTCGACCGACTAAAAATCATAAAAAAATAAAGTAAGATAAGCATACACATTGCCAAGGAACTAAACATTTATCACCAAAGAAGAAGCCTGATGTTTGGGTACCACATAATTTAACCGCCAAAAATTTATGAGTATGAGTATAAGAACGTAAGGCTGGCCCCATCGGCAACGCCTTACACTGATTTCCCAGGGTTATTTTACCCCCTCTCGGTTCTTATACGTATCCCTCCACTGCACAGCATTACCTGTGTTAGGTGGATTCGAATTTTTACCCTAGGAGGTCGTGGATGTCGTGGACGTCGCTGGTTAAGGCCACTCCCGGAATTTTGTCGCCAGGCCGGGACGTACGCCCGATTTAGGCTAGTGGAGTGTGGGATCAGGAGAAAAAAATGATGTTGGTAAAACATTTTTAATCACATACTAGTGAAAAATATATAATACTGTTGTCTAAGTATAATATTTGTATGCAATTTAATCTTTGGTAGAATATTGATCGGTAGATAGGTAGAATTTTCCAGAAATCGATAGATCTACCGAAAATTTGGTAGAGTTGGCAACACTGCGTCACTGTGTAATTTAACAGTAAAAAATGTACTGAGATAATTTTTATTTTGTTTAGATCTTTTAAAAATTGAGAGTGCATGATTTGTTTTAATGCATCCCCTGTATAGCAAGAACCCAAACCCATCAGAACTATTTGTTTCGTTCTCTGCACAACTCCCTTGGTGGTATAAAGTTGACTTAAAAAAGCCTCTTAGAATCACTTTAATTTTCCCTCCAAACAGTTTCTAGACATTTGCTCAAAAATATGAAAATGGATATAAATTTAAATGAAGCATATTTAATTAATTATGATTAATTAATATGAATTATTAAGATTTTTTTAAAATTATTAGGATTAGATTTTTTTAAATTTTGGTAAACAGACTTTTTCGAGTTTCCAATATTGAAGAGTGTACAGATTACTGTGCGCATATGATTCTACAGCATGAATATGCCCAACGAATCATACAAAAATATAATACGTACCATTTGCAAATAGGAAACCTGAGTACTTACCTATCAAACACTTTTCCTCAGTGCAAAAATGTATTGAATTGATACACAAGATTCTTTCGAACTCAACTTAATTTTACTGCAGTTAAATATCTAAACTATATTGCTACTCAGGCGCAACTGTCGGAACAAGCGCGCACGCTCTCATTTTACCCTGCGAAGGACCTGTCCTTGCGCACACTTTCCCAGTGCGCTCTGTGACACCGAATGGTATCATGCTAAACATTTCAACGTCCAACAAGTTCCGACGTTTGCGGTCGATTTTATATTAAATTAATTTTATATTTAAGTTTAAAATTAGCTTTAGTTTATTATAAAAAGTTAAAGGTTTAAATTTTGATAAATAAAGTAGGTATATTATACAGGCTAGGATCTACAAAAATTTTAAGGGAGGCAAAGTTAACGCCCCTATTTTTTTCAAAGTAAAATGAGAGGAAAATAAAAATTTAAATATTTTGCTTAGAAAATTACTATTGGTAGTTACATAGAACAAAAATGCCCCGCCAGAGTTAAAAAATAAATTTTCGAGCTTTTTTTTTAGCAAAGTTTTACTAAATTAAAATAATAATTATAATTATTATTTTAATTTATTAAAACTTTGCTAAGAAAAAAGCTAATATATAATTATTATATAAGTTCTTTTATTAGTCAGGAAAGATTGTCTTACCTTGCAATTTTATTAATTGAGAATACCACAGACAAAATTTTTGTCTGTGGAGAATACTTTTGCACAAGCAATAAATTCTGTATACATACATCTTCAAAATTTATTGCTTGTGCAAAAGTGTTCTTAAATAATAAAATTGCATGTCAAGATATTCTTTCCTGACTCATGAAGAACGTATTTAATTATTATTTTAATTTACTAAAACTTATCTAAAAACTTGTAGTGTGGAGGGTACAATATATGCGCAAGGCGATACATGTATGTGCACATATTTTTTTTTAGAATAGATTAATTAGTTCAGAAATATTGCAATGTTGAACACGTCCAAAAAAGTTTGGAAATATTCAAAAAACTAATAGGTACAAATAAACAAGTTAAAAAAATCATCAACGCAGTAAGGCTCTTAAGCAAGGTTTAAATTCCCTCAAACTAAGGTCTTTTATTGTTTTTGTCAATTTATTATATAAAATCAGAGGAAAGTTTCGAATACTCCTATGTGGGTCCTGGTTTGATTAATTAACACTAAATCCTTATTTCTAGTGAAGTATGAATGTTCTCTAATAGTATTGATAAACATAAATCTTTTCTTGTAAAAAAATAAAGATGTCCGAGTCGGTCCGACCCAACGTGAAACATTTTTTTTAAATATTTGTTTTCTTTTTTTATACTTGACCACTAATAATAACTAAAAATAAAATGTCAGGGCAAAATGGGAAAATGTTTTTTTTAATTAAAGAATACTATATTTTTTTATTTTTGAGTGTTGTGTGAATTAGAAAAATAATAATAGCAAACTATACAAAAAAGGTTTTATTTAGGATTAAAAGTGCTTGTTTAAATTAGTTCTGTATTTATTAGCTATGATTTGAGATACAACATTATGTCGTAGAACATTTGATCGAATATTTTTTTATAAATTCCATTTATCTTGAATTTGTAGATATTTAGTATTGACTTCATTGCTGTGCTAAAAGGATGATGTCAATTTTTTTAAGATGTTAGTAGTAAGATAATAAAAGAGAAAAACCTATAACATTTAAATATATAATTATTGAAAAAATAAAACTTCCCTTGAATTTTCCAGGCTCCTCGGGAAAATGTCTGGGAATTCTCACTCCTTCCGCACTATACTAGGAATATAATAAAGAACCCAATACAACTACTTATTTCAAAATTAATACACGGAGAGAATAATTTAAAACAACTCTTCGACTTCAAATAAATCTGAGCCACAACAAATTATTATTATTTGTTTTTAATATTGCTCGACTTTTTTCACTAAAAAGTAAATATTTAAAAATTTGAAGTTGAAGATTTTTAGTTTCCATAATGTTGTGCTTTTTAAATTTTGCCGCCCTAGGCCTGGACCCACTGGCCTAAGCCTAATTCCATCACTGATTAAAATCATTTATCTATATAGGGTTTACTTTACTAGGATTTGCAGGGACGTAGGGAAGGTCCCTATTATGGAGGGGGGTAGGTTTTCATTAAAATTTTAATTTTTTAATCCTTAAATTTAAAAGAATAGGTAGGTTCGTAATTAAAAAAAATCGCAGAGGCATTTATTCGACTGTTTATAACATAAAAAAACGCGATAAAATAAATTTGCCTAAAGGTCAGTGGCGAAGCTAGAGCATTTTTCGCCCAGAAAAAAGAATAATTCATTGTAGAAATTCCGTCAAATAAGTATATGACTTTTCAAAAGTTAGGCTCAATTTAACAAAAATCGTAAAACTTTTTCTGTTGACTATCATTGATTGACGCTGAAATCATTTAAAAATTTAAATTGATTAGTCGGCATTTACAAACTTCATGAACAAATAACGAAATTTTACAAAAGCATCAAACATGACGATAACGTTTCGAAATTCTCTTTATTACTTACTTTCCCGACTTCAGCAGCATCAAAATATTGTGAGTTTGTAACAATAAAATTAAATAGGAAATTCACTGCAAATTGTCTATTAATTGTTTGAAATTCCTACAAAAAGATCTTTAAATCATTCCAGATTTTCCATCAAAATAAATGAGTAAACTCTTTCTCCTACTATATTCAAATCAATTAGCAGTTAGTCGGCATGGACAGTTTTATTAGCTGCAGCTAGTAAAACTTTCGAAAATGACGACTAGCGAATTCACAGAAATATGTATATGGATCCAATTAGACAAAATCTTTAGCTAAATAATTTTTTGAACATAACGATTTTTTTTTCAAATCATTGAAAGTATTGGAATATATTATTGGATCTTAGAAAATGCGGACTCCTAGGTTAGCCGCTACGTCCCTAAGTGTTACCAACTTTTTCAGTTTGCGGCGCACTTGCAGGTTTGATTTTGTTTTTCAGTTCTCCAGTTCAAGAAATAAATAAAACAGTTTAGTTGAAATAATTTTATTCGACAAAAAAAAGACGGCTCAGGGCGCCGCGGCGCACACTTTGGGAACTTCTAACTTAAAATAAAACACTTCAATACATTTTTTATTAATTTAGTAGATTCTGTTTATCAACTATTAATTAATTATTGGTACAAGAATTTAAATCAATAAAATTACTACACGCATTATTGTATTTTAAATAGGAAGTATTCACGTGTTACATTTTTGCAAGGACATTTATAAATATGCATTTTGATGTAATAAAATTTATTGATTGAACGCATTTATAACGTCAGCTACATAGGTACTTATAATATAATATAATATAATACAGGGTAGTAATAAGTTGTCATCCCTTGATGATTTGTTTATTTAAAAACAGTAGCACTAATGAAAAAGTGATAGAGAAAAACCTTGCTTACTTTGGCGTGAACTATCATCCCCCAAGGGATGCAATGCAATAACATGACACCCTGTATGTATTATTTATTATAAAAAATTTAGTGACTAAAAAACCAATACCGATTTGGATTTTTAGATGGTGCAAAAGGCAATGGTTTGAGAAATTACCTAAAAATTAGAAAAAGTTGTTTTCCATAAAATGTTAAGGGTTAAAATGTTTGTCCGGACTAATCTCCGAAACGACTGAATTTTCATTGTCAGGCTTTTCAGAAAGCAATATGGGCTATTTTT